GTATAAATTGGCGGTAGTAGTTGGAGAACCCCAGGAGGCGTTGAACATCCTTCCGGTTTTTGGGAGGCTGCCATTGGAGAATGGCTTCCACCTTCTTGGGGTCCATCAGCGTGCCTTCAGGGGAGATAATATGCCCCAGGAACTCAACAGACTTACGATGAAACTCGCATTTTTCTAGTTTCGCATAGAGTCCATGGGTGCGCAGGCGGTGCAACACTTGCCTTACGTGGTCAATGTGTTGAGGCACGGTGGCGGAAAAGATCAGGATGTCATCTAAATAAATTACCACGAAGCGGTCGAGGAGGTCACGGAAGATGTCATTCATAAAGCGTTGGAACACTGCAGGGGCGTTGGTCAAGCCAAAGGGCATGACCAAGTGCTCATATTGGCCATAGCGGGTACCAAAGGCGGTCTTCCATTCATCTCCTGCCTTGATTCTCACCAGGTTGTAGGCGCCACGCAGGTCTAGCTTTGTGTAGATTTGAGCTCCCCGCAAACGGTCCATGAGCTCAGGGATCAACGGGAGGGGGTACCTATCCCGTATGGTGATTTTGTTCAGGGCCCTGTAGTCATTGCAGAGCCTGAGGTCTCCTGTCTTCTTTTTCACAAAGAGGACTGGGGAAGACAGAGGAGACGTAGAGGGCCGAATAAACCCTCTGGCCAGATTTTTGTCCAAATAGTCCCTCAGCGCAGCCAGCTCCGGTTCTGCCATTGGGTAAAGGCGGCCTGAGGGTAACGGAGCGTCGGGGATGAGGTTGATGGCACAGTCGTAGGGCCGATGCGGGGGTAGCTGGTCTGCCTCCTTTTCGTCAAAGACGTCTGCATAGTCCTGATAGGTGGCAGGTAAAGCGGGAGCCGCAGCGCCCAGCAGCAAAGCAGCTGGTGATGGTTCTGGCGATGGTGCTGAAGACGGGGTGTCTACCATCGTTTCCACGGAAGGCGTGGGTGCAGGACTGGTGCCGAACTGGAGCTCCTGATGTACCCAGTCTACCTGAGGGTTGTTGTGGCGCAGCCAGGAGAGACCCAGGATGACTGGAAACCTCGGCATCCTCACCAAGTCGAAAGTTATTTGTTCCTGGTGCTGCTGTATCCACAAGGTGAGTGGCTGGGTTTCTTGGACGACGGGTCCGGAGCGGAGCAGGCGTCCATCAATGGCTTCTACAAGCGCTGGGGTTGCCTTCTCTTGAAGGGGAACGCCGTGTTCTTTGGCAAAAAGAATGTCCATGAAACAACAGGCGGCCCCTGAGTCCAACATGGCGTGGATGAAGAGCCAGCGGTTGTCTGGGAGTTGCAACCGCACTGGCACCAGGAAGGGAGTCTGTGGTGAGTATGGAGTACTGGAGGACCCCAGAATAGGCCCCAAACCGGGGGGTCCGGTCAGGCTTGGGGCTGCTCTTTTACCGGTGGAGCCGGTTGTGGTGAGCGCTTCTGCTTGGCAGGGCAGCTGGAGGCAAAATGCCCGGCTTCTCCACAATACAGACACAGCTGTTGAGTGCGCCGTCTCAGCTTCTCCTCAGAAGTAAGGCGGGGCCGAGCGGTGCCAAGTTGCATGGGCTCTGTGCCTGCAGGAGGTGGAGAGGAGCCGGGGGAGGAAGGCCGGTGGAAGGTCTGAAGGGTTCTGCTGGGGAAGGCGAGAGCCTTTTTTCTGTTTTGGCGGCGGCTCTGTAACCTCCCATCAATGCGGAGACAGAGATGGATGAGGGCTTGTAAAGTGTCAGGGCGTTCACTGCGTGCAAGTTCATCTAGAATTTCGTCAGACAGCCCTTCAGTATACTGGTCAATAAACGCTGCCTCATTCCATGTCAGGTCTTGAGCCAGCAGCTGGAACTCATTGGTGTACTGAGCGACAGAGGTTTTATGCTGAGTAAGAGCCCTTATTTTGCGGTTAGCTGTTTCAGCTTTCACAGGATTGGCATAAGCAGCGGCAAAATGAGCCTTGAAAGCCTGGAAGTCAGATAGTAAGGGAGAATTCCCCACCAGCAAGGGCGTGGCCCATTTGGCAGCTTGCCCTTTAAGGAGGCTTAAAATGAAACAAACTTTAGCCTTCTCAGAAACAAAGTCCCGAGCCCTGAGCTCAATATACAGATTACATTGGGCAAGGAATGCCTGGAACTCATCAACATTCCCACCGAAACGATCAGGAGGATTTATTGGGCAACGTGGGGGAGGTGTACCAGCATTTGCTACAGCAACAGCATTTGTAGCAGCCTGTTGTTGCAAAGCAATCACAGCTTGAGTTAAGTGCTGTACCTGTGCTAGCATTTCCTCCATGGGGTCCACACCTCCGGTTGCTCCGTCTTCCATGGTGGGGATGTGTGAGCGTTGTGGGTGCTGGCAATCTGTCACGGCAGGACCAGGGGGCGTGACACAAGCAAGCAAAAGTCCAGGAACAGTCCGAGGTCAAGCCGGGCAAATCAGGTAGCAAGGTTCAAGCAGGTTTAAATCACAGTCCAAAAGCAGGGTCAGACATACCAAAGTTTCAAGTCCATAAATCACAACAATACCAGAGGAGTCAGAGATGAACGCAGGGTCAACAAAGCCAAAGGTCAAAAGCCGAGGATCAAGCCGAGAAGAATTCCACAAGGTCTGGAGCAGAGATGCAAGGATTCAGGTCCTGAACAAACGACGTTTGCCAGCACAAATGACTGCTGGCAACAGACTTGCATATATACAGTGCTAGCTAATCAACTCATTAGCTAGCCAGGAGTGAGGACAGGATCCTGTCAGTAATCAGGGCTAAGAGATCTTCTGGCACGCATGCGTGCATTCTGCCTTCGCTCTCTCAGCTGTTGTCTTCTTACATTCCTGAGCCTGGTTACAGGTGGAGGCGAGTCTGATGATGAATTACTGGGCTGCAGCAGAGACTGATCCCTTGCAGGTGTTCCCTGGGAGGCTCTATCCTCCTCACCACTTAGATAGCTTTCAGCTACAGGATCCAGTCTTTGCCTTTCTGCTGCAGTACTGTCCTCAGGAGCCTGTTCAGGGTCCTCAGGAGCCTGTTCAGGGGCATCAGCAAAGGCAGGCATGACATCAGCAGGGGCAGGCATGACAGAGCTGGGTGTGTTTAGCCCGGAGAGGAGACGACTGAGAAGGAGATGCGATCACCCTCTTCACGTACTCGAAGGGCTGTCCTATTACAGAGGATGGGGCAGAGTTGTTTTCTGTTGCCCCAGAAGGCTGGACCAGTACCAACGGGTCGAAATTGAATCAGAAAGCGTTTCCGGCTAAACATTAGGAAGAACTTCCCGAGGGTTAGGGCGGTTTTTCAGTGGGACAGGCTTCCTCGGGAGGTGGTGGGCTCTCCTCCTTGGGAGGTTTGCAAGCAGAGGCTAGATGGCCCCATCTGACAGCCATGCGGATTCTGTGAACTTAGGCAGATCAGGAGAGGCAGGGCAGGAATCGTTGCACCAGTGCTTAGTTCTTGTGGGCCTTTCTTACACACCCGGGGAAATGCTGATTTGGGGTCAGAAAGCAATCTTTCTCCAGGCCAGTTTGGCCCCCAGGGATGCTGGAAGCTGTTTTGTCATCTTCTGGGCATGGAGCAGGGGGTCACTGGGGGTGTGTGTGTGTGGGGAGGTATTTGTGAATGTCCTGCACTGTGCAGGAGGTTGGACTAGGTGACTCTGGAGGTCCCTGTCAACTCTATGGTTCTGTGGGACCCCGGAGAGCCCCTGCTCTCAGTCAGAGTCGAGAAGCCTGGCCTATACACTGCTTCTGGATGTGGAGGTTCTGTCTGGCCATGAGGGCTGACAGCCACTGATCAGCCCCTGTTGAGAGCCAGATACGACCGTGGCTGTGATCGCAGTCTCAGTGGCCTCCAGCTTCTTCCAACTTGCGCCTGGACAAGCGGGTGTAGGATGGGTTGTGAGAATTAAGCGTAAGGGTCCCAGCCCAGCTTTCCCCAGAACGGAATTAGATCCCTTGACTGTTCGATATACCCAGTCCCTGTCTAGCGGGGCAGACATAGAACATATTTCATGTGGGTGGGTGGGGAGGAACTGGCCCCAGGCACAGCTTTGGGGCTGGTGGGGCCCCCGCCATGCCCCGGTTGCGCCCCCCCCCCCCCCGGTGTTGACTGAGTGTGCCCCTCCCCCCCAGGTAAACCAGGGCAACATGCCAGGCCTCCAGAATACTTTCCTGGCCATGGACACGGAGGAGGGCGTGGAGGTGGTGTGGAACGAGCTGCACTTTGCCGACCTGAAGGCCTTCAAGGCTCACGAGGTGAGGACCCCCGCCCCCCCCCGAGGAGGAGGAAGAACAGGCCTGTGCCTCAGGGCCTGGCACACGCGAGGGCTGGGGGGCTCTGGGCTGCCGCAGGAGGTGGGCCTCCCCCCTGGCCAGTCCTCCCCCCACACGTGTTGCCTTGTGAGGCCCCCCCCCAATCCCCTCTCCAATCTTCCGGCAGGAGAAGGTCAAGACGGTATTTGAGCAGCTGGTGGTGGTCGACCATCCCAACATCGTGAAGGTTCACAAGTACTGGCTGGTGGTGAAGGACTCCATGGCTCAGGTGAGAGAGAGAGAGAGAGAGAGAGAGAGAGAGAGACACCCTGGGCCACGCGGGCCCCACCCTTCGCTCTGTGCAGGCCGGGCCTCTCCGGTGTGGGAAGGGACGGTTCCTGCAGGGCGGAGAAGGGCCCCCGCCAACCTCCACCCCCCCCACCCCCATCGGTGGCCTTGGAGAGCTGCTGCCGGCCAGGGCAGGAGACTCTGGGCCTGCGGGGCTGGCTTCACAGGGGCCACGATGGGTGTCGAGCAGAGCCACCGGAGTCCAGGCAAGATTCCAGACGTGGCTGCCAGGGAAGAGGGCGGCGGCGGGTGGGGAGAACCTCTGCTGCCAGGTAAGTGTCCACCTGCTGACAGGAGGCCGGCTAATTAAAGGTGTGTTTCCACAAGGGGCAGCGTTTCCTGGCACTGACTGCCCCTTTCTCCTCCCGCCAAAGGTGATCTTCATCACAGAGTACGTCTCCTCCGGCAGCCTCAAGCAGTTCCTGAAGAAGACCAAGAAGAACCACAAAGCCATGAATGTCCGGGTAGGGGCCCCCCTCCTTCCTGCCTGCCTGCCTCTCGGGGCCGGTCGGGAGGGGGAGCGGGGGAAGGCTCACCCCCCCCAACACCCCACCCCCCCCCCGCAAAGGAGAGGAAAGGCCCCGCTGGGGCCAGGCGCTGCAGGGGG